ACAATAATTTCTTGACTTATTAGCTTTAGGCAATTTTTAATAATTCCCCATTACAAAAGATAAGGATTTAACTTACTCTATTACCACTTTCCTTTGCCCATCTTTCTCCAAATGTTTGATAGATATATCCCTTTTTAATACTTCTATTGGCTTAATTTATAGCTTTGAACAATACACTAATTCTCTAGTTCTTGTTCCATTAACTGAAGATCTTATCTTTTTATCCCAACTTTGAATATATAAGTAGCCCTATTCTTCCTTCCACCTTTCTTCTCCCAACTAATTCTCAACCTTTTTCGGCATTCTTTTTCCTTGTCAGAATTAATTGCTTTCAACTTCAGTTCTGAATAAAAAATTAAGCCTATCATGTTTTGTCAATACGCTGATCAGAACACTGAATAGCAAGAAATGACATCTACATTATTTTGGCTATGTAAATACTTCTCACCGAGAGACAAGTAGAAGCTAGGATATTTTCTTCCCTATGCACTCCATGTCATGATGCCTGTGCCACAGGAAAGGAAATGTACCTACCGCCAATATCAAATTGAGTCTCGTCTTATGCTCCATGAGTAACTCAAAATCATGCCCCATTTTATTTTGCTTCATAGTTGGGCTGAATTTCTTCAGATATTTTTTATTTATCTTCGTTTTCTCTTGACTAAAGAATGTTTTCAAACATTCCAGCTTCTCAATGACACTATTTATGGCACAGAGTGCACATTCTTCCCAGAAAGCCCAAGACTGTGAGCTTTCATCTGAAACGGGTCTGCTGGATAACTGTCACTCTAGACTGAGACATCCTGAGTGAGGTCCATTGTTCTCTGGATCCCATTTCTTTTTCCTTCCTGGTTTTCATTCTCATTTTACCAGAGAATTTCCTCAATGTACTTCCTCAGTAAAGGTGCAAGACAGGTAGACTTTCTGAAAACTTGCATGTCAGAAAATGTCTTCATTTTGACGTTACTCTTGATACTTTCCCTTGCTATGGAATTCTGGGTACAAAAATTTCTAATAATCTGTGTGAAGACATTGCTCCATTGACTTGTAGCATTCAATGTTGCTGATAAAAAATCTGCTGCCTGTCTATTTCTCATCCCTTTTTTGTTGAGCTAATCAGGATAACCTAATTTTTTTTTCCTTTTGGGCACTTTTAATATCTTCCCTCTATGCTTAATATTCCAAAATTTCACAAGATTGTGTCTAGATATAGGATGTATTTGGCCCCCTCCAATCTGGAGACTTTGTTCTATTCTTCAATTTTTTATTTTTATTTCTTCATCTATATTTTCTGTGTTCTCTCCTGTAGGAACTACTAACAATTAGATATTGATTGCCTGTGTCTCTTTCCTTTCTCCATATTTTCTGTTTATTTCTTTTTGCTTTACATCTGGGAATATTCCTTCAACTTTGTTTTCTAGCCTGTCTACTGAACACTTCTGGTAGTCTTATTTCACTTTCAAAGGGCTCTTCTTCTCAGAGTTTTTTCTTTCTTTGTGGTATCCTGTTTTCATCTTACAAATATACCTCAAATCTCTCTGAAGACATAGTTAGAATTTTAAGTTATTTTTTCCACATTAACTTTGTTTCCCTCAGAGTTTGTCATATTTTGAAACCCCCTAATACCACCTGGTTATTTTCTTTTTTTAATGCTTATTCCCTGCTCTTCCCTCCCTCCCACCTATGGGAATTCCTAGCTGATCATTTAAGATCCACGTAACTGTTAACTTTTATAGGAGTTGGTGTGGGTTTCCTCTGCTGTTGTATGGACAGATCTGTTACTCCGGTAAGCTTCTTCATGCCTGGAGGCACTGGGAACTTGAGTAGGGGTCTAAACTGTCAGGAGAGAATTAGCTGATAGGTTGGGGGCCACTAATTTCCACAAAAGGAGGAATTTTATTCTGGAACACCAACTCTTACCTCTCCTCAGGCAGTTTATTCAATTCCTTCATACAAACGATAACAACAACAACAACAACAACAACAACAACAAATTTTTAACTGATACTGATAGTAGCCTGCCTGTGTTTTGTGCACAAGGTTGGGGGCAGAGTAGGATGGGGTTTAATTTTATAACTGTTGTAATTCTTCAGTAGATAAAGTTTTCAGGTCTCAAGTCTCTTTGGGGTTATGTTGTTCAGATCAGCTTATATTCTGTCTGAGAGGTACCTTCACTCGTTCACTCATTATCATGCTTCATCCACTTTCTCTCTTCCAGAAATGTGTTGAGATCTTCTCCACT